AAATGGGAGGGGCTACAACCAGGTCTAACTAAGCACTTTAATTCTCTCTGAAGCTTTCCAAAATTCCTTGGAGGAGGGAGATGTTAGAGACATACAGCTGGAAAAGAGAGAGGGAACCGGTGGAAGGAAAAAGGGAGAAGATGGAATTATTTTCCAAGTGGTCAGCAAAAGGCAGCCATTGGGGCTCAGTATAAACAAGCTTTTCTCCTAACTGGAAGTTTTCCACAGAGACATCCCTTAGTAGAAGCCAGATTTCCCTTTATAGCAAGTCAATCTTGCAGGAGGAAAAGGGTTCTGTAACCCTAGATAAAGCAGAGGCAAGTCAGCCGGGAACACCTGGAGGAACTTAAAGGTGAACTTGGGCCCGGGACTGAGGCTTGCTGCCACCTGATGGCTGTTCCATGAACTGCAGCCCTCTGGGACCACAACTGAGCTGGTCACTAAGTGCTGGCTAAGATCTCTTCCTTCCGTCCAAAGGAGGCTTCGTTCTTTCTCTTCGTCCTTCCTGCCAGGCTTCCTAACCAGCCTTGGCACAGTAGAAAAGGCAGCCTTAATACTTACCCAATGGCTCAGAAAGAGGGTGGTCTACTCTGTAAAGGGAGACCCTTCCCCTGCTCCAAACTCTGAGCTGCATTTTATACGAAAGGTCGATCCCATTTCTCTGGGGCACTTCACCTTTTCACGGAAAGGGTATATGGTCATCAGTTGAATCTGTCCACTGCCAATTTAATCCAAATTTCTAAATAGAAATGGCAAACAACTTCCATAATTTAATTATGCAAAGTGTAAACCAAAAAGATTCATAGTCCGCCTGGACTACTGCAATGCTCTCTACATGGGGCTTCCCTTGAGGAGCACCCGGAGGCTCCAGTTGGTCCAAAATGCGGCCGCGCGGGCGGTGTTGGGAGGGACTCGTCACTCCCACGTTACGCCGCTTCTGCGCGAGCTGCATTGGCTACCGGTGGCCTTCCGGGTGCGCTTCAAGGTGATGGTTATTATCTTTAAA